ACGAGCATAAGTGTGTGTGTATTTGGCTGAAGAAATACACTGTGCCTGGCTGCAGGGCAAAGTAAGGGGAAACCGGGACAAATATACAAGTGGCCCTTATGAGGGTAGTGGTACAGAATACTTTATTGCAGAGGCTATGCCTACCACATACACTGTAAACATCAACAGTAAGTAGCGTGGTGAAGGTAATCAACAGATCTCTGCTTTTCTTTGGTTTTTGAGGTTGGGGGTTCAGAAATCCAACCATCCTAGAAGTGTAAAATTATTTTCTATTTCTTCAATACAGTAGAGAATCGTGATGCCAGTATTAACAATAGTCTCTACAGCAGCGGTTCTCAACCTGTGGGTCGCGACCCCTTTGGGGGTCAAACGACCTTTTCACAGGGGTCGCCTAAGACCATCGGAAAACACATATTTCCGATGGTCTTAGGAACCGAGACACCGCTCCTCTATCCGTCTCCAGGTGTGGGCGGGATGACATGCCGCCCCTATCATCTGGACACACCCCTGGGATCAATCCTCGCCGGTGATTGGCCGCCGGAACTGTAGCTCAGGAGAGGCACACAGGCGGCCAATCACCAGCAAGGAGGTGGAGCTTGGAGAGGAGGAGCCGAGCGGCACCGCGAAGATCGAGCCAGTGAAGAGGAGGAGAGCAGCCGGAGAATGAAGACAGCTGACCGGTAAGTGTCTTTACCATGGGAGAGGGAGGGGGAGCGAGCGAACCCAGGCTGGAGCAGGGGTCAGCAAGGTAAGTATCATTGGTGTCAGTGGGAGGAATAGTGCCCCATCATTGGTGTCACTAATACCAATGATGGGGCACTATTCCTCCCACTGACACCAACGATGGGGCACTATTCCTCCCCCCACTGACACCAACGATGGGGCACTATTCCTCCCCCACTGACTTATATAGTGGACTATATAAACTGTAGAACTGCTTAGTGGTCTTCAACTAGTTTCTGGTTATCTGCATCCTGATGTGCTAATTCTGACTTTCTGTGTATAACCCAGCTTACTTTCAGACCTGCCTCTGGACCTTTGTTGTAATGTCAGCTTGCCTTTTGGACTCAGCTTACTAATTTCTGCCTTTTACCTGGCCTATCTGCTGTTACTGACCTCAGATTTTTTCCTGGAAACTGTCTCGCTTCCTGATCTGTTACCATGCTGCTCGGCTATTTCTGACTCTGATTTGTGCCCAACTCTGCCTCCATCCCCTGATCTGGAACCCCTCTACCTAGCCAGGTCCACCACCTGCTTGCGTCTTGACCTTGTTCCTTTCACCTGCTCTGGTAACTTCTTGTTCCAGCACGTGGTCTGCAGTCCTTTGCTTCATGCACCTTGCAGCCACACAAATCTGTTAATCTATGTGACTCCACACTCATGCTACTCCACATAATCACATTTTCTGGCACCACTTTCAGGGGTGTTGGACAGGAGGTTCAAGAGGGAACCCCCTTATCAACATGTTTGTTGTAGTAACAGAGGGCATTACAAACTATGGAAGTTAGTTTACTTGGACTTCATGTTTGTAGTGTTCAATGTTGCCTGTGTTTGCTGTTATTGATACAAGCATTGTGCAGGTAACGTTTGTATAAAATAATGGATTCACAACTGCAAGTTATTGTGACAAGTTGAAAACAGCACACAGTGATGGAAATAACATGATAAATGTAAGCTTTAATTATCTCTAAATTAATTTGCCTGGACTTTACTCAGGTGTTAATTTATCATGAAAAATTAAGAGAAGCATTAAGCCATCAGTACAAGAGACAGATAACACAAATTCTCAGACTCGGCTCCAGAAACCGTAGCAGATTTGGCAGAGAACAAAACAAAGACAAGCCAAAAACAAAAACAAGCAGAGGTTGGTTTTGCTAATTATTCTAGTGAACTTATAAAAATAAAATTTTACCTCTCTATTAACTTTCTTTTATAGTTTGTCTGTTTAGCCTGTAAGCAGGTTGAAGTGCTAGTTAGATGTTGGCTGGCTGGGAGGGAAGGGGTTTACTCAAGACATAAAACTATAATCCTGCCACTTTACAAAATTCTGGTTCAGCCGCATCTGTATGCTGTCCAGTTCTGGTCACCAGCCCTCAGGAGGGAGGTGCGGGAACTGGAGAGAGTCCAGAGAAGGGCAACAAAGTTAATAAGGGGACAGGAGGACCTCAGTTATAAGTAACAATTACAAACACTAAACTTATTCTCCCTGGAGAAGAGGCACTTGAGAGAGAATATGATAGCAATATACAAGTATCTTAATGGTGGTTTTAGTGTAGGGAATAAACTATTTAGTCTCATGGAGTGTAAGAAGACACGGAGCCACTCAATGAAATTGGAAGAGACCTTAAACTTAAACCTTAAACTGCGTAAGGGATTTTTCACTGTCAGGATGGTAAGGATGAGGTACTCACAACTGGCGGTGTCGCCGGGAAGCATTGAGAGTTTTAAAAAAATCTTGGACAGGTATCTTGATGAACACAATATACAGGGATACGGGCAA